CTACATCAACCGACGTCCACCTTGGTGAACGTAAGTTCCGCAGGGTTGTCACTGCTACTGCAGCTCGCTTCGTACCGGCAGGATGCACTACGGACCCACGTCCGAATTTCCCTGCTGAAGCGGCTGTTCTAGCGCGTGACAGCCTTCGTCAGGCCGATCCCGGAAATCCCCGTATCAGGGATCTTAACGTGGGGATTCGGCAACTAGTGAACGCACATAAGCGGATGAAGTGGGAAGAGCATCTGAAGACCTGTAACTTCACCTCTAGTGTGAGTAAGCTTTGCTCAACCGTGAGATCATTGTCCAATCCGACGGGGCACGACGACAGGGTCGAAATTTCTTTCGGCGACCATGTTTCGTCGGACCCGGAGCGATGCGCGCGCTATTTTAGCTGGCAGTTCATACTGCATCCTCCGCCAACAGCTTGTGCCCCCTTGCTTTCACCAGCGGCGAAGTTAGGTGGCCATCGGGAATGCGAAAGCCATGGGTCTCGCCGGAATATGCATGTTGATGTTGAAAAATTTAGGTTCTGCGGGAGTAGCGTACCTAACGGAGGTCCTCAATATGTCTATGGCCACTCTCATCATCCCAGACATCTGGAAGGTGGGGAGAGTGGTCCCACTGCTCAAACCGGTGAAACCAGCCAACAAAGGAGATTCTTATCGACCGATAACACTCCTTTCCCCGGTAGCGAAGACACTAGAGGCCTTGCTTCTCCCGTATTTCACAAACAACCTGACCCCAGCGATCAGTAGGGTTTCCGTAAAGTGCACAGTACAACAACAACACTTAACGCCATAAACACTCAGATAATACGTGCCCTTAACCGCAATCGTCCCTGTGGGAAAACTATTCTAGTAGCGTTGTCAAATGCGTTTGACACCATCAGCCACTCCACGCTGCTAGAAGATATAGGGGCTTCTTTTCTCCCAAAGAGGCTCAAACGGTGGTCGGCGATTTATCTGAGTGGTCGACACTCGTCGGTAATGTTTAGAGACAAATCAAGCAAACTTAGAAAAAAAAACAGGGGTTACCACAGAGGGAGGCTCGATTGTCTCCTACGCCGACGATCGCTCTATTATGGCGACTGGGAATGGAATTGATGACTTGTGTTCGAAAGTAAACGGGTATCTCTCGCGAGCTTTCTCGCTTCTTCACTGCAAGGAGCCTTACCTTCTCCCTTACGAAGTCCTCTGCGACCTTGTTCACCACCTGGACGAAGGAGGTCAGGCTACCGCTGGGAATTCACGTCGATGATACACCAATTCCGACGGTGAATAACCCCAAAATAATCGGAGTAATCTTCGACAGTCTGATCTCCTTCTCTGCGCGCGCAACCGCTATTGTCAACAAAGTACAGAGCCACAACAAGGCCCTCAAGTCGCTAGCCGGCAGTACTTGGGGCAAAGATAAAGAAACGTTGGTGGCAACATACAAGGGAATTACGCCGGCCGGTTTTAAATTACGCAGCACCAGTGTGGTCGCCGGGCTACTAGTAGAACGCAGTGGATGAAGCTTGCAGACAACTCAAAACACCGCACTACGGACAGGGACTGGATGCCTTTTGATGTAGCCTGAACACCACCTACACGACGAGGCGAAATTGCTCCCGGTCAATGAGCATAACACCATGCTCTGCAAGCAGTTCCTTGTCGGTAGCCATAGACGTGGTTACCCGAATGGGCAGCTGCTTGCAGAAGAGCCCTCACACAGGCACGTCAGGAGGCATCTCTACAAACTGACGGACGAAGTCCAGAGGTCCATTAAACAACCTCTGGACCCGTCAGCATATTGACAAACCCTGAGCGGCATTCACAGGGAGTCAATGTCGAGTTATGTAAACTCCAGACCTGTGAATGCCGTTCTAGGCGCACAACCACCGGATAGCCACCACAATAGCCCAACTTCGCTCTGGCTATTGCAGCAGGCTCAACAGCTACCTGAGTAGAATCAACAAGGATGTGCCCAACCAATGCCCGGCATGTGGAGAGTCGCCACATGACTCCCGGCACCTCTTCACATGCCCTGAGAATCCCACTCAGCTAACGCCCCTGTCCCTATGGACAGCCCATGTGGAAGTCGCACACTTCCTGGGCCTCTCCTTAGCTGAAATAGACGGCAACGATGATGGATGAACCGTCCCGAACGGGGCTTAGTAGCCGCTACAACAACAACAAAGCGGCGAGCGGCTTAATTAAAACATATGAAACACTATTGAAATGGCCATGCTCTGAGTAACATTTCTGAGCGGCTGAGCGGCATTTTTGTATGGCGCCGCTCAGCCGCTTGTCGCTTGCCGCTCATTGCGTGGCCTCGACCTTACTCTAGCGCAGTTTAGACACGCCAAAATCCTACTCATCCATACTTGACCCCGACGTACCCAATATACACCACCCACCGCTTCATTTGCACCATTAAACCCACTCAGCTAACACCACCTTCTCTTTGGTCTAACCCCGTCAAAACAGCACGTTTCTAAGCTCACCGTTAATTCAGCTCGACAGTAATGATTAATAGACTAGCCCAATTAGGTTGAGTGTAGTAGTGGGGATATAACAACCAAATCAACATGATGTGGATTTTAACATCCACCTTAGTTTAATTACTTTTCTTTCAGGCAACTTCCAGTTACGAAGTATTTGGCATAATTTGAAGAAGCAACAAGTTTTAATAGATGAGCTCGTCAAATTGGTTAAAATCGTGGCTAAGGAACCGGGCAATCGCAATAAGAAAACTGAGAAGTTTCAGAAACTGCTGTCCGACACAGACGCTTTTAAAATAAACTTCACTGGCTTCGACCCACGACCATTTCCATTGGATCCGGAAATTTACATCATAAGGATTGTTCCATCAAAAACGTCTCTCTTCAAAAGTGCATTGATGCCTGCCAAGTATGTGATATCGTGCAATTTTTTTATTGACCTAACGAACTTCTCGCCCTATTAATTTTACCAGATTGACTTTCGTCTCTACCATTGGCAAACACGAATATGTAGCCATTTTTAAGCATGGCGATGATCTTCGCCAAGATCAATTAATATTGCAAATGATTACCCTAATGGACAAACTGTTGAGACGGGAGAACTTGGATCTAAAACTAACGCCTTACAAGGTGCTGGCCACCAGTTCGAAGCATGGTCTCTTGCAGTACATCGATTCCTATACTGTAGCCGATGTGCTGGCGCGAGAGGGCAGCATACACAACTTTTTCCGTAAGCATAGTCCGTGCGAAAATGGGCCGTACGGCATTGCGGCGGAGACTATGGATACATATATCAAGAGCTGTGCTGGTTACTGTGTGATAACATATTTACTAGGTTATTTCATACACCCTTTGAGTTTCGACATAATGATTATTTTAAAATAAAATTTCCCTATTATCGTTGCTTACAGGTGTAGGCGATCGTCACTTGGATAACTTGCTTCTCACAACCAATGGTAAATTGTTCCATATCGATTTTGGTTATATACTGGGACGTGATCCGAAACCTATGCCGCCACCCATGAAGCTGAGCAAAGAGATGGTAGAAGCTATGGGAGGCGTCAGTTCCGACCATCACCATGAGTTTCGGAAACAGTGTTATACAGCATATTTGCATCTGCGTCGCCATGCCAATGTCATGCTTAATCTTTTCTCGCTTATGGTAGATGCCTCCGTGCCGGATATAGCACTCGAGCCGGATAAGGCTGTGAAAAAAGTGGAGGAGAATTTGCAATTGGGCCTAACAGACGAAGAGGCGGTGCAACATCTTCAAGCATTACTAGACGTCTCCATTACTGCGGTTATGCCAGCTCTAGTAGAGCAAATTCACAAATTGGCTCAGTATTGGCGGAAGTAAAAGGGAATTGCGAATGTTTTTATTCAAGTCAAATGACACCGGGTTAAATATTTCTATGCATATTATTAGCGAGTAAAATTTTATTTAATTAAATTTAAAAATGCGTACATTCCATTAATGACATTTATGGGCACGTGTATAAATAAATAATAAGCCTCCGTTCGAAACGGGTAGAGGGCGAGAAATTAGTAGCTCTCGGGAGATTGTAGCATGAATGCAATATACTGCTATCTGAGCAATTCCGCGACGACTCGATAATTTGTGCGGTGAATGACGAGATCCCGCCGAGGTAACTGGTGACTGCCGCAGATCTCCAGCCTACACCATAAATACCGGTGGCCTGACTTCAGACCATAGGCAATCTATGACGGTTTCGCGGTATACCCCATCTCCATTCTGTCCACTGTCACAAATTTCACCAAAACGCTTCTTCACCCTAGTTTGAATAAGCCATCTGCCCATCGTAACCCTCCATCACGGATTACGCCAGATGCATAGTACAATAATAAAACTGAACGCCATCACCGCGCAGTCAAACGAGGGTCTGAAAATGATGGCGATTAACTATTCGAAAGCCCTTGGCAAGGTCCACCACGCGAAGCTCATCCAAAATATGATTGACTCGTCCCTTCCGAATTCCGTAATGCAAACAGCAAACCGAGCTTTCCTCGATGCTATTTAATCTCTACATGGCCAAGCTTCTTCCGCTCTAGCTGGAGTTAGTTTTGTGATTACTGTGCCAAAACATCGGCAGAAAGGCTATCTTATCTGTTATCTGTTGTAACATCAAACATAAAACATTGATTGATTGGCCTTTCGGTGGTGAACTAGGCTGCACCTGTGAAACCAGCTTTTCACAGTAAAGACATTTACAAACTTCGCAGAACGCAGCTTTACGTATGGCTAAGGGCTGCCACTGCCCGTCCTCGTAACACCATTTCCACGAAGAAGGACAGACGCACACGTTAAGAGAGCACAACACATTGGTTTCGAAGCACCTTCACTTGGCTTGTCTGGCTTATCTTCGCTAAGGGGGAAGTTTTTGATCTCGATCCAATCCGGCAAACGGTTGTGTCAAACAAGAAAGTCTCTATTCCCAACCCTTTTCTTCATAATCACTTAATATTGGCGTCGTAATCGTAAAATTAAAAGAATAAATTCATTTATCTTAACTATGCATTTTTTATTCACTAACTATTGCTTACACAGGTGTACTGGGCCGACTTAAAAGTTAAATTATCTTAATACACTTTATAGCAATACATATGTATTATAAGTTAGATCAGTCATCCCATAGAACCGTCTTCCTTCTATTATGAGACCCAATATGTATTAATTTAATCATATGCGGCTCCGCTAAGAATAGTATATGTTTTTGCTTTCCAAGCACACGTACGGTGATCACAAAATTATACTAAAAAATGTGAGAACATAATTGCCTTAAAAGAAGTGCGCCGCGTTTGTAATCGTGGACCATAGCAGCGGTACAGTTATTGAAAGCAAAATTATCAAATCGTTGACTCATGAATTGTTTTTACTTTGTTCTTTTTACAATCATATATGTTGATATATGCTTTAACATTGTTTATTCTACTAACCAATACCTAAATAATCAATAATTCACGATTGGCGTTAAAAGAAAAACTTCGAACGCAATTTTTACATTTTTAAAAGATCTAGAAATTGTCTAAAGGGTTAGGGTGGAGATTAATTATCAAAACTTATTTGCCGCTTTACTTTGTTCGAACCCAAATGAAGCAAACTCGAGTCCAAGGCAATGTTCTTTGTTTGCAATTGCAACTTGCCAACCGAGGCACCTTGTATCAAGTTTGTTTTCAGCTGGTTGTTATTAAAGTAATGATTGTTATTATGCGCATATGGACTTACATTGCGCTGATCTTTACCAGTGAAGTTCTTCTGAGCGGAACGACGTTGATCGGAATCAAAATTGACGTTTTCACGCAGAGCTAATCCGCACGTATTATTCTTCGACGAACTATTCTGTTGAGACTCATTCGACTGAATGGGTAGCTTTTTTAGAGGCGATGGTTGAGTTGATGTGCTCTCAATTAATTGTGATTGGGAAGTAAAAGTCGAGGCTATTGCATTAGTTGAGGGTTTTATCTCGTGGCTATTTGTTAAACCAAAGGAGTCCAATGATGGCTCTGCCGAAAATATGTTCGTTATCGAACCAGAATGCATGGAATTTTGACTAAATAAATTCGATTGCTCTTCTTGTAAATGCTGTTGTTGTGAGTCCTTCAGACGCTGATATTCCTCTGGCCCAATGTAGCCGCTTAGACGGCAGTTTGATTCGTTTTTCTCGCGTAGTATTTTCGCTTTTGCTTGCAGATAAACATCGTCGGCGCCACGACCACCAATCACATTGTGCACATACCGCTTGGCCAAACTGGAAATGAAAATATATACAACTTAATTATGTTTTAGTGCTAACTGGAGTTTATGAGGCTTAAACTGACCGTAGCAACGTTTCGCTATTGCTCGTGCTGCTCTTTTGAAAAAATTCCTGAAATATACGCCGAACAACTCTGGCCAGTACTGCCGCATATTGCTTAAAGCTATCATGCTTCGTAGTAATTTTCTTTTCTTGCAGAGCCTGAGAAACGGCCCATAACAGTTTCTATAAGAAAGAAAGAAAAAACATGTTTCTTTTGAACAAAGGCATTCCCCACTAACAATGCAAAAGGCGCTATTTGAGAATACAGGTGTAGGAAAAATCTTTTTAAAGCGTAAAAGCATAAAAAGGCATTTTAAATATTCTTTGAATTTTTGTACAAGGATGCCATGGGAGAACCAGCTAAATTAATAGTTAAACGGGAAATGCTGAAAAGTTGTCAAATAAAGCCTTTGCATTGTGTGTTGCATTGAATGGCGATTATAGTTTTTATATACCTTCCGCTGGTTCTCTGTTAAACTGTTTGTTTGCGCAATCATTTCAGAGTATGAGCGTTGAATTTTTCCTGCGGTACTAGCAGTTGATAAAACCGCTGTACTGTCAATGGTAGTGCTGCTGCTAGGTTCCAAATTCGCACGCATTATTATATCACGATTATATATTACGGTATTATTAGACGTTGCTATGACATCAGCGCTAACCATAGTTGACGAGGAACCAGTCCCTATACAGAAGCTTTGACTTTTTATCTTGAGTGCACGTGGCGTTAAGTTTTCCGCCCCACCACGAAACAATTTGATACTTTGCGAGGGTAAATCCGCTAAGTCGCCAGTGTCATCGTCGTCAATAACCGACCGCTTTCTCTTCAAAATGGAATCAAAGTGATGAGTATTAAAACGTCCGTGCTGATAACTTGAATTGGCAGAATAGTTTATGCCTTCAGATTGTTTATCGGGAGAGAAGAGAGCTCGCTTGGACTTCTCAACACGATTGGCAATTTCGGGCTTAATGTTGGGCATAAACCTATGGACTGGTTTTTTGTGCTCCAGTTGCTTAGGTGGGCTTTGGAACAGAGCACGCTTCGATGCTTCTCGGGAAGGGCCGGGTTTGATGAGATCGCAACGAAACAGTCTTTTACGTGCCGATGATGAAGGCGTTTTGCGAGCTATGTACAAGAAGTAAATTACTGATTTAAAGCAGTCAGAAGATAATAGCATAAAACATTTCATACTTTTATTTTTGCTACCGGGTGTCATACGTTTGGGTGTGTTCTTACGACGATGTTTAATTTTCCTAAAAGAAAAACAAGTTCTAAAGCACTTAAATTAAATAAATACATCCAAACATGACCTACTTTTTAGTTTCAACCAATATTTGTGGTCCACGTAAAGTATTCGATTTTTGTGTGGCCAATTGCGCCGATGAAAAAGTGGCTCGACGTCTAGCTAAATGGCTTAAACGATTGCCAGGCGATTGCGTTAGTAATCTGAAATTTAATTACACACATGTTGAAATGCAGCCGCGAATATTCAAAGGACAACATTAGGTGCTTCGAAAACAAGATGAACTACATATATATGTTTGTTTTTACCATAAGCGGCCAGGAGAACACGAGTAGCCTTTCCACAAACATATATAAAAAATAAAAGATGTCGTACTGTATGGCTAAAAAGGTGTTGCTTATAACCAGAGTACCCCTTTTCAGTTTTCTCTTCGATGGAAAACTGTAATTAATTTCTTAAATTTGACCTAGCTCTTGTAATAAAAAAAAAAGTCTAATGATTTTTAATGTTATGTAGATAGGCTACTCTGATCCCCACGACCTCATATTTTTTCAATGTTCGTACTTCATGCGTGCATTGCGCTTCTTCTCGCTTGACGGTGAATTACGATATGAAGAGGCCGTTTCTGCACCTATAAAACGCTCAATCACCGATAATCCTAAATATTCATTGTTTTCAGAGGCTTTGCACAAGTTAAAACTGGAAATTAAGATCAAAACAGATTTTAATATGGAAAACAGCAAAATTAACTTATTTGATGCTTACCAAAAGCCATGCTGGCGAACACCTAACACTTGCCGCCAACCTATTTCTCTTGCTTCGGCAATTGAGTGTGTGGGTTTGAAGAGACTTGATAATATCGCTGAAGAACTACAAGAGTCCGGGCCACTGGAAGTGTCAATGTCGCTGGTAAAGTGCAAAATATCTTGTTTTCGGCTTATTACCGAGCTAAACATGTCCAATTGTGGTATGGTTACAGAGGGAGGTGGCGGCACACCCGCCAAGCACTTGCGTATGCGTCGTAAAAGCTCTCGTTCTCTGCGGCAGTTCTCCCGGAATAAGGTGTAAGAGTCACTCAACTGCTGCACTCGTAGTGAATCTATTTCACAGGTTTGATCGTCTGCAAAGCTGGACTCAGTATGCCAAGTAAGTGATTTATTTATGCTTGTGTCTGCAGTACTAACTACAGTTTTCTCGCAAAAACTTTCATCGCAATCTGCTATGGCTTCTGGTAATCCAAACTTCTCTTTGGATTCATTGACATAATTTTTCGTTGCTATTGTGCTGTCTTCATTGTTTGTCGTATCTACAACCTCAATTAAATCTTCAGCTCTGAAACTGTATTGATTTTCATTGCTTCCGTCCTCATCATCTTCGTCTTCAAATAGATCTGGTGATTTTTCATTGCTGTACTTTTTGATGATAAAGGATTGGGTTATATCCTGATTGGAATTTTCTGTTGTGGGTTCCTGTTCGTTAATTTCGGATGGTGGTGTTAGACTTTTAATTTTTCCGTTAAATGAGAGCTCGATGGATAATTTAAAAGGCTTGCGTTCCACATTTGTATCAGACTCTTTGCTGAGAGCCAACAAATAATCGACACCATTTTCCTGCTCATCTTCATCGCGATCACTAGGTACTGGCTCTTCATTTGACAACTGTATATCAACAGCATTACAACTATTCTCCTCCATAACCATATCATAGAACCTAGAAAACATGATATTGCCTTTAGTAGGCAACGGCTTGCGTTCAGTCAAATTTTCTAATGAAGTCGGTACTTGAGAAGGCACTGAGGTAGATGAAAAAAACTCTCTTTGAAGCTTCCCGTACGGGCTCCCGCTAAAACCTTTGAAAGCGGATTTTTGACTTAAATTTGGACTTATAGCACTTTCATTACTCTTAGTTGGTGACTTTTCCTCATATATTTCTGTTATATCATTACTCTTAGTTGGTGACTTTTCCTCATATATTATAGAACCAGACATTGCTGTGAAAGGAATTTTATATTCCCCACTTGATGTACAAAAATTACCGTCCGCTGGTATAATTACTTCAGTTTCGTATGATGGTGGTTTTAGTATATATGGTAAATGCATACTTCCGTCATATACTGAGCTGTACTCGAGTGGTTCGTTGATTGAAGACTGCAAAAGCAAATGTTTGCTATATTTTTCAGGTATAAGAACTTAATACAAACACCTAATTAAGTATGAACTATTGAAATATACAATATGAACTACTTCAATTCGAAAGCGGTGTGGAAATTGGAAGGAAGAACTTACACTACTAGACGGTTCAGATTCATAGCTATTGTTAATTTTGATGCGTTTTTGTGTGCTCATACTGCAAAAAATTGCGCTTTGTGGCCAAATTTCGGGAATAACCTGCAGTAAGTAAATCTTTTCAGCTACATATATAGATTAGGCAAGAGTCCAAAAATAACCATAACCCTAAGAATACTCATTCCATGCATATATGTACGTATGTAAGTGTACAATAGATTTAAAAATAAATAATAGTTTATTACCAGTCAGAAAGATCTCCTCTTGTAGTGCAAATGCAGCTCACAGATGTGCACATTCATAAATGTAGCCAGAAAATCACTCAAAAGTGCAATGAAAAGCGCGGGTCTATTCTCTGTTTGCCGCCGAGATGTGATTCACTGGCAGGTGATTACTAAAAGCCAATAATTTGTTGCAAATAATTTAACGCTGAGTTTTATGTGAACATATTGATGTTAATATTAAAAATACGCCGCCCTATTTGTTCAAAATTGCTATAATTCTACGATCAATTAATTGTAAATTGTAAAACAGTGCTGCGGTGGCTGAAATCTATCCAACATACAGGGTTGCATTAAGAGCAAAATACACTACACAAGCCATCCAGCGTTGCCATTACCATGATAAAAACAAAGCAAGGTATAACCGTTCTCTCAATTTGTCGGCCATGATTTTTTTTTGAAGTTTGCCAACATTTTAAAATCATATAAAAGTGAAAACAAAAAATTGAAACTGTTCGAAATTGTTGTTGCTTGAGATTGAAAATGAAAATGTGTGTGTGAGTTTGTGAGTAAATTTAAAAATTAAATTGTTTGGAAACGTCAAGAATTTTAAAAGTAACTCTCAGCGGTTCTACCTTACTATATTTTTATCAGTCTAAGTTCTCTGCCTTTTCTATCTATCTAAGTTCTCTGCATGATTCAACAACTACAGGTTGTAGCAATCGTACAAAAACAACATTTACCGTTGGTATGAACTCCTTGTGTCATCAACATCTTCTTTATCTATTCATATTCGTATGTATATGTATACCCTGCATACCAGGATTTCATAGAATTCTGAAAGGTTTCACAATTTTTTAAGAATTTTCTTTAAGAAATGGTACAGAAATTTCTTTACTAGTTCTTGTCAACTGCTTCATATGTTTTTCTTTACAGATTTCTAAAAGAATCGTAACAGATTTCCGACACTCTTAAAGATTTCGGGAGAATTTGTTTGCAGGGTATATATATACGTATATATGTATGTATAAGTGGATAAGTAAATAAAGCAAAACGGACGATAATTTGACACAAGCGTGCTCATAAGAAGAAGCATAGCTTCTATCGCTATCACCTGTAATTGATGCGCCTTGGTTCTCTGTCTGCCATTACTGCGATTACGTTCTTTGGTGGCTTTGGTGGAACGCATTCTTTTCATTCCGTCTCTAGCACGGAAGTAGCATAAAGAAGAAAATGGATGCAATTTTTGAGCGCATGCTTTCGCTAACTAATTTGTTATTTTTCTATGTGGTTTTGCAACCGATTTTTAACATGGCGGCCAGAAAATGACAAAATTTTGATTTCTGTTCAGATTTGCTTTACTAATGAACGAACATGCTATACAAGCCGATCATGCTCGCGCACATGTTCGTCGAGTGTGGGCACTGGAACGTTGTCTGGTATCACTATGAAAATAATTCTACCGGATACTCTGGCATCTCTATAATTCTTCGCCATTCTGAAATTCTGGCATCTTTTAGATGTTTTGTTTTGATTCGTTTTTATGTCCGCTAGTCTGGATAGGTGAAAATTAATTTTCCACTTTTTAAGTAGCTTTAAATAAAAACGGATAATAAATTTTTGCTATTCAACTAACCCAAAAAAACAGAGAACCTCAATAAACTTGACATTAAATTTATCCCATTAAAAGAATAGGAGCACAGAAACCATAAGATGCCTCTTACAGCAGAAAATGCAGCTTTGCAAATTCAGGTATGTATATACATATGTTCAAGCAAATTTCTCAAAAACACCTTCGGGGTAATTGCAAAAAACTATTGTAGGATCGATTGAAAGAATTGCAACGGCTCATTCATCAAATTGATGATGACCGCAGGCGCTCTGAAGCAAACTTGAATAGCACACTCCGCGCACAGCAATCCAATTTCCCACCTCAAAAATTAAAAACGCTGTACAAGACAGGTCTTCAAGATGCTTCTCACGAAGAGGCTACTATACGAGGAGCATTGGAAAAAATACAGGAAATTCGTAATATTCGAAACGAACGGCGTGTTGCGGCTCGAAATGCTGGCAATAAAGAAGCAATACGTCGTGGCGCTCTGATGAAAATGGTTCAAATCTCTGCGCAAACATTGCCGCTTTTTGTGAGTAAACCTGGTGAAAAGGTTCCGCCATTATGTGGCGCTACTCCAGCCGAAAGCAATTATATCGCAAAAGTTGGCGACAACGTCGCGGCTTTAGTAAAAGGCGTAGAAGATGACGAAAATTGGATTCTGGCAGAGGTGGTGCAATTCTTGCATCGTCAAAACAAATACGACGTTATAGATATTGACGAAGAACAAAAGGACCGGCATGTGCTGAGCAAGCGAAAAATCATTCCCCTGCCATTGATGCGAGCTAATCCTGAAACAGATGGTCACGCTTTATTTCCAAAGGACACAGTTGGTATGGAATGTATAGAATTATTTTAAACACTCCATATTTTGACAGCTTATTAAAATTTTAGTGATGGCGCTTTATCCACAAACTACTTGTTTTTACAAAGCAATAATTCATCGTTTGCCTCAGACTGCAACAGAGGACTACTTGGTGTTATTTGAGGATTCGTCTTGTACAAACGGTTATGCTGATCCATTACCAGTGGCACAGCGGTATGTTATTGCATACAAACCAACCAAAAAAAGTGGTGGTGCTGGAAGTGGCAGCGTTTCTTCAGCTTAATTGAAAACTCCAAGAATCAGTTCAGTTAAAATTCCTTATTTATATAAAACTACATCTTAAATCTATGCAATTAATTTCACATTTCAACTATAGATCGTCTCCATCATCACTTTCTTCATTTTCAGTATTATCTTGTTCCATGCCTTCGTCTTCTACCTCATCGCCTTGGCCACTGTCAGTTTTGTCATCGTCGTCATTAATATCGTCATGTACATGCAATTCGAAACCAGTCTCTTTTGTCCAAGAACACTTAATTGTGAGCTGAAATTTAGCCATGGGTTTCGCAAGTAATTTCAAAATGCGGGCTTGCTCCGGCGTTAAAACCTTTCCTTCCTCGCACACAGTATAGTCACTATAGAGCGTTACTACACCTTTTTGGAGTTTTGTTGGCATTCCTAGGGATCGTAGATGCGGTTCTATGGAATGTGTGAATTCTTCAAGTGGGCCCGCCGACAAAACTACTGTTTCTGTTGCCTTAAAACCACTGCGCGCATATTCTACAGCCCAATATTTTTCGGCCCAATCAAGAACTTCTTTCTTCGGCTTTTCTGTAAATAAAAGACCTACTTGTCCTGTTAAGCGTTTAGAAAGCTGAAATATCAAGTAAGATAGTTAAAAATTCAATTTGTCAATATCACTTATGTATGCATTTTTACCTTATGGAGATCTACTTCAACTTCTTCTGCTTTGTTGCGTCCTAAACCAATTTGCATGATTCGATTTTTGCCAAAGAAGAAGCGTGAATTGGCTTTCCATTCCTGGCGTAGATCCTTTAAAAGATTATTTCGCATGTTTTGAACTTGAAAAACGAAAACATTTGGATATTTTCCAACACAGTGACGAATATCTTCAATGATTTTTTGCTTCCATGCCAGGCCTTTGCGATCCGTTTTGGTCAACGAAACTGTTTCCAACGAAAATCGTAAACAATATAAAAAAATGCTGATAATTTGATACTAAGGAAGTTCTAATAATATGAACTTACCTTTTTTGTCTCTCTTGGAACGTGGCATTACAAAAGTAGGTTTGTATTTCGTTAAAATATATATTTTTTTCAATATTTAGTGCTTTATGTCTAAAAACGCAGCGATATCAACACGTGCATAGTGATAGAATGATGCGAGTAACGAGTACAGAATATCGATATTTTTCTTGAGTACTGAGTTGTATCGGGAATTCGATACTTTTTAACAAGTACTGAGTAATTATCGCAAATATCATATAGTATCGTGTTAAAAATTTTTTAATTAATTTTTTATTTTTTTTTAATTACATACAAAATTGTTTCAATTACGCTGATTTTTTTTTAATTACTGGGAAATGTTCCGAATAGTATCTGTTAATTCGAGAGAGCTGGAGAGAGCAAACAACAAGGGGCGGATTCAATGACGTGATTCGACTCCAGGGGGAGTCGTAACGGCAGTTAACGACAAGTTTCGGATCGATATCGGACTTGTTGACGTAGAAAAATTACCCTAACGGCCTTGTCCCTGTGGACAAACCCCACAGAAGCTGCACGCTTCCTAGGGCTGCCGTTAGTGGAACTTGACGACAACGACTGAGATACCAACCGTCCTGGGCGGGGTTGTTGTAGCCGCTACAACAACAACAACAACAATAACGTAGAAAAATTTCATATCATACGTCAACAAAACCGATACCGATTCGAAAATTGTCGCTAACTGGTTACAGAATCTGCCCCCAGGGCTTACCAAATTGCACAAATATTTAAAATAAAATAACCAGGAATTTTTAGCGCGCACCAAAATTAACCCTCGCCGGTCTAACTCCGGCAACTGTGAAAAATTTCCAGCCGTAAAAAGTTACGAATTGGCACAGCAGAAATTTAAAATTGTCTACAATAAAAAGTTTGTTCACGCTTGAACTTTTATACTGATTTGCACAGGCCCTCACAACAACGAAATACACACGGTTGCCATGCTAGCAAGCATAAAATTTGCAAATGCAATTCCAACTGCAAATACAATATCCTGAACGACCCTAATGTAAAAAGGTCAGATTTCGGTCCTTTTCTCTCTTAGGGCTCTGTCAGACGGTCAGTAATTATCACGATATTGATGGATCGCGCACGAATGCTACATGTTCAATATTTATCGCGTAGATATCTACGTTAATTGGCGTCACTATGTTCTTTGCCTAAGTTAGTAACGGCGTGTTTACATTAGACAATGCTGTCAAGACAATGACGAAATGCATATTAGCTGTCAAAAACGCAGATAATTGTCTCCGTAACATGGGCGACCCAGACAATAGTTATGACAATTTGAACGCTGTATTACAATACGCATTTCATGCGAGCTATTTAAGCTAAAAATTAAAAATAAAATAAAAATAAAGAAGAGACAAAGTTACATACACATCTGCGTATCTTTAGTTATTATAGTTCTTTTGTTATGAATTTCTCTTCTTTCTTTTAGAAGACGTCAAAATTATTGTCCGCATACGTCAAATCCCTGTCCGATTTACTGTCTTCAAAATAATCAAGACAGTGATTGAGACAATTGGAAAAGTTTGCATGCATTAGTAAAAAAATGTGCATGTATTGCTATTGTCAAGACAGTATTGTCCGTTGTA